TTCCTTTCTTTCAAGATTTCCTCTTGAAGCTTTGCATAACAATAAAAATGCTAATCATTGAATATCTAAAATTGTTTCCCCCTTTGTTCTTAAAGTATTTTTGTGTGAATATTATAGTCATGTTAAAAGTACTCCAAGTACTGCATTTGTCCTTGATGAAAGAATCCCTTTTATAAAGATAAATACAAGACCAAACAAGGTAGAGTTACATCTAGAGGTAGTTCATTGTTTGATGAATGCATGAATTCATTATATAAACAGACAAATTGAACTTTCAACATTGGACTCTAAAATTTCACAGTCACATGGATAAAGAGGAAATCTCCCTCCAGTCCTGTTCCTCAGATAAAATATATGGTTTATAAACTAATTTTAAAAACCTTAGAGACATGAATGTAGCCATTTTGTAGATAAGATGCTTATTAGTATCAAATAAATACCCTAGCAGCTCTTCACCAAGAGAAAACTTTGGTACATGTTTGATCAAATAACCAAAATGCCCCCAATAACTTTATTTGATGATTAAAAAAAATAACTAACTTTGGGAGCTCAGCCAATAAATATAACTCCAAATAAGTGAACCGATCATCATAGGGAAATCCTCTGTATTAGTTACTTTTCTATTGCTGTCATGAAATATCATGACCAAAGGGAATTTGAGAAAGAAAAGGTTTCTTTTAGCCTACAGTTCTAGAGGGCTAGGGTCTATAATGGCAAGAAAGGCTTACCAGCAATTCCTAGGAACAAGAAGCTGGCTCATCACATTTCCATCCACCCACAGCAAACAGAAAAAAAAATAGGAAGTGGAGCATAGCTATAAAGCCTCAAAGCTGGCCCCCAGTGATTTACTTCCTCCAGCAAGGTTGAGCCTCTGAAAGGGTTCCATGATGCCCCCAAACAGTGCTACCAACTATGAACCAAATGTATATGAGACGATGAGGAGACATTTAGCATTTAAACGATTATATCCCCTGAGCAGTGAGGCTAAGAGAATTGAGTGAAGTGCAGCATAATCGATAAGAGAACCTTAGTGGCAAGACTTCTTACCTAAATCCTTCCTTTTAACGTATCATGTTTGTGTGTGTGTGTTTGGGGTTGGGCATATTAGCTATATTACCAGCTAATGTAGCTATATGACAAGATCTCATGTAGTTAATCTCTATGTGGCTGAGGATAACCTTGAACTCCTAATCATCCTGCCTCCAGCTCTCAAGCACTGCAATGCAGGTATGCACCACCACACCTAGTCTAAAAGAGCTCTTATACTTGGTGCTTCATAGTTGCCTTCAGATCAAAAATCATCTTTATAGCAAAATAGAGAATGTTGAGGTGACATTTCTCTACTTACTACAAAATCTCAGCAGTATCCCTAAGGAAGCAGCTACAACAGTGTACATACATGATTTTGAGAACTGGAATTGGTTGTTGGCTGGTTCTCAAAGAGATGTTAGTAAGAACAGCTCAAGAAGAGACTGGCAAGAATTTGTAAAGCAGGTAACTTGCTGGAACAAACTTTCACCTTTTTAGCCCACTTAGAGCTACAATTAAATCAGTTTGTCCATGATCCTATGTCAGAGTACAGAGATCTAAATGTGTGTTTTACAACCATCACTTTTGGGGCTGGAGAAATGGCTCAGTGGTTTGGAGCACCGGCTCTTCAAGAGGACCTGAGTTCAATTCCCAGCAACCACATGGTGTCTCACAGCCATCTATAGTGAGACCTGATGTCCTGTTCTGGCATGCAGGTGTACATGCAGAGGAGCACTCACATAAAATAAATGAGTAAATCTTCTAAGAAGAAAAAAATTGTCACTTATGATAGTTTGAGTTGCACACCAAGGTTTGGTACAGTTTAACTATTACACACGAAATAGTAGAGTATTACAAGTTCATGTTTCTGCTTCATTTCTCAAAAGCAAAGTTTATTAGCAAGGCTAATTTTTAAACTTATAAAGCTTAAAAATACCTCAGATAGAATATACTGAATGCCTAGAAGTGGACACTTGGGCTGTTGATATGAAATTGTAAAGATGCTAGTCGTAGACTGAATGAAAACGAGATAAAACAGAATGGAGCCATGTGTGGTGGCATACATCCTAGCACTTGAGAGGCAGAGCCAGGTACAGCCTAGTCCACATAGCAAGTTCCCAGCTGGACTACATAGTGAGACTCTGTCTTAAAAAAGAAAGAAAAAGAAAAGAAGAAAAGGAAAAATGAAGGTTTTAATCATTGAGGTCTTTGGGAAGAGAATAGATTAAAGGGAAAAAATCAACATCCAAAAGTTGAGTATTGAAAAGCTAAGGAGTTAGTAGCATCATTGATGAAACCAAAAGCATGAAATGGGAATTTACGTGATAGATGGGATTAAATTGTAAAGAAGAAAATTGTGGGTTTATTCTCATATATTTAGCTTTCCATTTAATTTGGTATGCTTCTTTAAAAATATTTAAAATGAACTGCAAATCTATCCCCCTGCCCCCATTTAACCAGCTATTATTTCATTATGTCAATTTTACAAACTACTGGTTCTCCAGTTATCGCTAACTATTCTCTTATTTCTGGAACTGTTTTCAAAAATACAACAGTCATAAAAAAACACCATAATATAATAATAATAATATAAACCTGCAGTTTTCTTTTTAAAGCAACTTGTCTGACTAACAGAGTTAAAGAGTTGCAGTTCTTGGCCTCTATAGAATTACAAATGTAATACTTTTGCTACTTGAGATCAGATAATTCATCTATATCAGCACTGCAATAGCAGTCTCAGTTTCTGCCAGTGACTAAGTGTAGACATGGGTTACAGTGTCCTATAGCATATGATAAAGGTAAATTAGTACACTGTTTAAGGGAAGACTTCCGGGTGACATGGCAGAGAGTTTTTCCAGCCTCTTTGTAATGAGATTGCTTCAAAGCCACTACTTTTTAACATAAAATCAAAACTCTGGGTACATAATATCACTAATGAATCAGAAAGATTAAAGGGGAACTGTGGTTATTGCCCTGGCTGTTCCACATTAACAGACAAAGTATCTGAGATGGTGGTCTTGCTGTCTGCCTCCTTCTTAGTCTACTACCAAGTAGTGCTTTGGGTCTGAGGTTGAAGCTCAGTACTGTAGCACAGGGGACCCTGAGTTTGATCCTCAGTACCTTAAAAATAAAACACTCAGCTGGGCAGTGGTGGAAAAAAGAAGCAAGAGGATGAGAGGAAATTGGAGGAAAGTAGTGGTGAATAAAAAAAATTTAGTTGGGCAGTAGTGGCAAACACCTTTAAACCCAGTGCTTGGGAGGCAGAGGCAGGTGGATCTCTGTGAGTTTGAGGCCAGGCTGGTCTATAGAGCAAGTTTTAACTTTTATAATATTTCTGAAACTGAAGTATCCCTCTCTTTTTTTAACTTTATTTATTATTATTGGGGAGGGTTGAAGCACATACATGCATGCCATGGTGTATTTGTGAAGGTAAAAATCAACTTCATGTAGTTCTATCGCTTCTGTGCCTGTACATGACTTCCAAGGATCAAACTCAGACTGTCAGACTTTGAGCAAGTACCTTTACCCACCGAGAGCCATCTTGCTGGCCCTCAAAATATAACTTACACCTAATCTTCAGTGTGTGTGTATTGGGTTAAGGGCTCCTTTTCATGAGTATTTTGTGGTCCTGAGTCTGTGTTTACACTGTAAGTAGGTTTGGTGTGAATTGCCCCTAAGAGTAATAATCTGAGAACCAAAAGGAAAGTAGATACTCTTATCATGAGGAAAGAAAAATCACATTTATTGAAGCATTAATAACATAATATAGGACTGCTCTTCCAGAGGTCCTGAGTTCAATTCCCAGCAACCACATGGTGGCTCGCAACCATCCATTATGAGATCTGGTGCCCTCTTCTGGTGCAGATATCCATGGAAGCAGAATGTTGTATACATAATAAATAAATAAAATCTTTTTTAAAAAACATAATATAAAGAATTAATATTATTAATAAATGTTATATGGTAATGGTATACTATAGTATTGATAATATATTAATATTATTGATATATAACCAATAATATAATAGTTTCATTTATGTGCATATACTGTTACTTGAATTCTGACAAGTACATTATAAGGTGGCTGTAATGAAGTCATTTTACAAATGAGAAAATTTGAGTAATTTGCATTTAATCTGAATCCAAAGGTGTTCCTACTGTTCTAAGCCTTAATGAAACATCCTAACATAAAACAAATTTCCTTCATAGACATCACTGGTAAATATTAACTCAGAGAAATGGAATTGTGGATGGGTATAGCTAAGTATTCCTTGTTTAAGTTTGTGTTTCAAACACAAAATATTTGTTCCTTTAAGAAGTTTTTCTTTAATGTTGTTGATTATACTTCAGAAAACATACCAGGAAGCTTGAAAGAGAAAAGGCAAATGGTTATTCTCTTCAGACTTGGGAATATCAGATGTTCTCATGATCAGATAAATTGGGAGAGGGTTGGAGAAATGACTTGGTGACTAAAGCACTGGCTGCTCTTCCTGAGGACTCAGGTTTGACTCCCAGTACCCACATAGCAGCTCACAAACACCTTAAGTCCAGTTCCAGGGAATCCAGTGCTCTTTTCTGGCCTCAGTGGTCACCAAGGACATGAATGGCATATAGACATACATGCAGTCAAAAACACCCATACACATAAAAAATATTTTAAGATGAATTGTAAAATAAGTATTGCCAGAACATAGATAGTTTTATAATAATCAGTATCTAGGAAAGCCCAGTTCATCCTTGACATTATTGCCAAATTATAGCTAAAGCTAGTATTAAATTTGGCCCACTGTTCAACTACCATTCTCCTTTACTTACAATATTTATTCAAATTTCCTTTGAGCATATAACCTCTACATGCCAGGTGCTGTCATAGATGCCCAAATGCTAAACTTATTCACATCTAGTTTCTTCCATTAGAATAGGCAACATGACCTAAGAAAATAATTAGTGATGGTTTTTTGACTTTGTAGCTGCTAAATCCTGAAGATGACCTCTTACCAGGAAAGATTCGAGACAGCAATCGGTCAACACTTCTAGCAACAATTCAGGAACATGGTTACCCCACAATCAACCTGGGAATTGTAGGAGACAAGTAAGTATAGCAATTTTTTTTGAAAAAAGTTATTTATTCTGAAATAGGAAATTTTAGATTACTGGAGTAGATGGAGTTGATGCTAAAGAGATAGATTGAACAACGTGATTTTCGTCGGTCACATTCTTTAGAAGCCTAAGGATTGTAGAGGTACATATGAACTTCAGGAATAAACATTTTCTTAGAATAGGTATTATAAAAGGAAAATATTTTACCTTGATATGGTGTGTTAAATTGAGATATGCTTTTCATGTAATTGGCTTTATCCAAGTAGAAATAAGGGTGTTGATGTCATTGTTTTTCACACTTTTATTTCAAGACATTGGAAATACAGGTGAGAAGCCTAGGAGAGACTATCAAAACTAGTATTACCTGAGTGTTTGACATTTTTTTTCAGATTTTTTTTATTTTAATTAGAAACAAGATTGTTTTACATGTCATTCCCAGTTCCCTCTCCCTCCCCTCCTCCCTTACCACCCCTCCCCCAACTAGCACTCGACCTATCACATATCCTTTCTGCTTCCCAGGGAGGGTGAGGCCTTCCATAGGGTGTCATCAGAGTCTATCATATCCTTTGGGATAGGGCCTGGGCCCACCCCCATGTGTCTTGGCTCAGGGAATATCCCTCTATGTGGAATGGGCTCCCAAAGTCCACACCTATGCTAGAGATAAGTGCTGAACTTCTACAGGAGGTCCCATAGATTTCCCAGGTCTCCTCACTGAAACCCACGTTCCTGGGGACTGGATCAGTCCCATGCTGGTATCCCAGCTAATTGTTTGACATTTAAGCACAGTTGTTTTCCATGGGTTTGTACATTAATTTTGTATCCTTGTGTAACCCATATTTCTTCCAGCTTCACCTGTTTAATTACAAAGGAGGCACATTAACTATACCTGCCAATCTTTAAAACACATTGCCCATGCCTACCAAGTCAATTGAGATCAGATCTTCAGTAAATGTTTTCTGTTGGTTTCCAGTGATGTGTCTCATTTAAAAAAAAAAAGTCTCTTTTCTGAGTATCCCACTACTAAACAACACTACTACTTAGCCCTTTTCACAAGGCACGAATTCCTGTGCTGCAGAACTGTCACTGCTTTAATAATTAAACATTGACCTGGGAAGATAAAACCCACTGGAATGATGGATACCATGGATCTGTCACCAGTATCACTGTCTCCCTTATCACTACCTTGTCATTGAAGAAAGCCCATCATGCATTGATCCTTTCTTTAAGATGTGTGCTTTTGAAGAGGCTCTGCTCTATCATTTTACAAGGTGTGTTCTAGCAGGTATACTATCAACCCACCCCAGATGGAAGGTGGGCACAGTCCAAACCTTAGACATCAACATTGTATGGGGAACTTTTTAAAGTTCTTTCCTGAAATCGAGCGTGCACGTGCATGTGTGCGTGCGTGTGTGTGCCCCACACACTATGTAGCACAAACTTCCCATTCCCAATCCTACCTCAACATCCCAAGTGTCTGGCCCACAGCAGCCAGCTTTGGGTCTTTTGGCTTTCGTTTTGGTTTTATTTTTTATTTTTTAAGGTACTTAGGTACTTGGTATACTATATTTCTGGCATTATCTTACTTTAAAAGCTAAAACACCTTTAAAAGGCTCTTATGTTGGTGTGCTAATAGATAATAACTTTTTAAAAAGCATGTTTGTGGGAAATGAATGAATTATCCCTTGTTAGGAGACTTACAGGCTCCTGGCTGATGAGATCCTGAAGGGGGAGAGCAATTAGGAAAGATAACATCAAAGCCATGATAGGGCCCTCAAGGGACACGACTTTTCCTTCAGATCCCAAGAACAAAGAGAATTTTCTGAGTGGGAGGATAAAGTTCCATATCATGGTAACCTAGTCTACGTGCCAGAAGTTACAAGGCACTGAAAGTAAAGTTATAATTTGAGTTTGCTTCCTGTTGCAAGGAGGGAGACTACAAAAACATTACAGAACACCTTGGGCTTTATCAACTCTGCCTCAGAGAAAGTTGTAGGAGCAGGAGAGACTGAGATGGGAGAGGGGAGACGGAGAGGGTCCACAACCTAACGCTGATATTTAATTGTGCAGAGTCATTACTAAATTTGTGATAGATATTTCCTGGTAATGTAATGTTGATTTTAAATTTAACCTCAAAGCATACATTGAAAACAACAAACTATAAAACCAGTATTGGCAATTCAGAGAAATGTGCCACTTCCTAGTGTATATCCTTCTATTTGGTAGCAATACCTTATATAAAACTGAGAACAGGGTTGCTGTTTGAGTTTTGCTAATACAGACTTTTTCAGTCTTAGAGTGCTGTATTAAAAAAGCCCAGAATGAATGGTTTAGAACTCAGAGGTGGAATGTGGGAGGAAAGAATTCACAGCTATTCTAATGGAAATCTGCCCCAGGAATTTAGCACGGGAAACAAGGTACATTACTGTACAGCTATTGATATTCTGTGTAGGTTGCCTCTTCATTCTTTTTGCTATGTATTCCCTTTTCTAATGAAAGCAAATATTGTTATATAGAAGCCTCTGAGAGAATCTCAGCAAGGAAACAAGTGGGCATGGGAGGAACCCTGGGTGAGAAACAGCTCAGGGATGCTTTCAAGCACAAAACCATGCTAAGCTATATAGATAAGGGTAGAAAGTAATCTTTATATTCTTGTCATTAAAAAAGGCTTGAGTGTGATTTTTACCTTCTGTATTATTATACTTTTCAGCTCTTGTTATTTACCTTGATTTTTACAATCAATATAATCTAGAAGAGTAAGTTGTAATAACTGTTCAAATTGAATTGAGCTAAAGTTTGCCATTTATTTATTTAGTTTATATCTGCATGGGTGTTTAGCCTACACGTATGTTTGTACAGCATGTGTGCCTAGTGCTGTGGAAGCTAAAGAGAGCATCAGACCCGAGGACTGGAATTACAGACAGTTGTGAGCTGAAGTGTGGGTGCTGGGAACAAAACTGGGATCCTCTGGAAGAGCAGCCAGTGCTCTTAACTGTGGAGCCATTTTTTTCAGCCTATAAAGTTTGCCTTCGTTTTTGAGAGGTAACTTTATTTCTGAATGTTCATTTAGAAATAATAAGTTTATATTAAAATATATTTCCTATTTTTCTCACATAGTATAGAACCCAATACATTGGAGTTTCTAGAGTTTTTGTTTTGTTCTTTAAAAAGTCTAATATTGAAACCCAGAGATATTAAAAAATTTACCTGACATTATAAAGCTAGTTAGTGCAGAGGCAGAAATGAAATCTAAATTTCTTGAGATTTATAATGCACAACTCTTTGCTATAATTTTGAAGATGTGATAAAAATATATCAGAAGAGCTGTAGCAACTCTAAGCTTAGGTAGTCAGAGCAAGTTTTATAAAGAATTTTTAGGGTGAGTAGGATCTGGATAGGAAAAGATGATATGTTAATCCAAATAAGAAGCATAAAATTTGCAATAACTGGCCAGACTGATTAGAACCAAAGGCTGGGGTAGAAAGAATACACATAAATTTGGTAAATATTTGAGATTTGGTTTTAAAAGGCTTTTCTATCAAGGTAGAGTTGCCCAAATCAGTTGAAGTTGAAGCTTGCGCTTTTTTTTTTTCAGCAGAAGTTATATAGTAAGTTATTATTTTAGAAAAAAAAATGACTTCGGTATATCAGATAGCTAATGACTGAGGGAGACTGTTCAGTCACCAGGAAATATGCATTGTATATGGATATAAGCTACCTGATCTTAATGAATCACCTTTCTAAAGTGAGGACGTGACTGCCCCAAGGTATGATGGGAAGAAAGGTTTTTTTTTCTTTTTTTTTTTTTATTAGTTCAAATTAGGAACAAGCTTGTTTCACATGTCAATCCCTTCTCCCTCTCCCTCCCCTCCCCCCCCCCCCACACCTCC